TGGCCACCCGCCCCGCTTCCGCCGGGGCCTTCCCGTGTGGGGGCAGCCGGGAGCGTCCCGGGCAGGGGATGCCGGGGGAGGCGGAGCCCGGGCGGGAAGCCTGCACCTCTGCCCGCGGAAGGAAGGTTGCAACGGGTGCTCGTGGTGCCGCACGAAGCGGCGCGTCTCACGTTTTAGCGTCGGGGCCGCTCAAAATATACCAGGCTCGTGTCCTTCCCCCCGCCCCGAAAAAGGAAAGGAAAGGTGAGGCGATTCCACTGGGAACTAACGTAGATTGATCCGTTCCCTGGCTGGAAAGCTTCGTTCTGTAAGCACGCTCTAAGCACCTGCGGAAAAGATTTTTTTTTTTTTTTCTTTTTTTTTGCGAAGGTGCACCATAAGCATACGATACGCTTTTGGACAGCGTGCAATTACTTTGCAGCCTGATGAGATGAGATGAGGTAAGACCTATTTCATAAGGTTCTGCTGCGCAAGGAATAGAAATCCCAAGTTGGATGGAGCCAGTTCTGGTGCGCCATCCCTCCTCCCTTTTCTTGTGCTTCTAATGGAGATGCCAGGCAAAAGGCTGTGTCCTCTCAAAGGATCCTAAAACCCCAAAGGCTGTCATGTCATGTAGTGGTTTGGGGTTTTTTTGCCAAATCCACTAACTGCCTAATAACCGTGGGCAGACCTTTGTTCTCTGTCCACCTCTCTCCTAGGCCTGAAGCTTCCCACAAGGGCAGGGTCCATGGCAGTGCAGGTACCTGGGCAGCCTGAGGGCTGCTCTGTGCTTCCAGAACCTGCAGCTTCATCAGAGGAAGCTTTGCTGGAGAGTAGAGGACAGACCAGCAAGACTCAGCTCGTGGCAAATGTGAAAAACTGTAGGGGTTTGTATTGTCAGACTGTGTTGATGCTTTTCTGACCAAGAACAAGCTTCCATACCAGAAATTCACTATGCGATACTTCTGTGAGAAGAATTTTGATGGACTCCGATAATTCACAGGAATGGATTTTGCATGAGAATTTCATCTCCAGAGGCTGCTGTGAGTCTAGAGCATTTAACTGGAGCAATTACCCAAGTGTGCCCAGGAACTCTCTGGTTTACAAGGGTGTTATTAGCCTCTCACAGGTAGGAATATCAGCTTCGCACAATGTGTTAAACAAGCAGCTAGCGTTCACAAGGCATGTGCAGATCTGTTGCGTGGGCCACTTAGCGTACCGGGCCTAGGATACAAAGCTGAAAAGCAAATTTTCACCTCTTTTAACTTCAGCATTGCCAGGGTTTCAACCCAGACCTACATTTCAGTTTTACCACAATTCAGGAGCAGAAATCATTAGTTAGGCCTCATGAGGGTGAGTTCAGCTGTTAAGTCTTAATTCTAGAACAGATGCAGACACCTGAAAGGTTTAAGGGTTTTTGAATTGTCTTAAAACCAGCACACATCAGCCTCACATCCTGCCACTGTGCTATAAGCAGCCAAGACCCATTTTGTATACATGCAATAACAACTGTTTTCATTTTGGAGGTATTTTTCTGACGGAATTCTGCCGGCACAGCCTTTGCAGCCAAAGCTGTGGGAAGAGCAACAGCAGTAGAAAATTGTTCTGTTTGTACCACGGTGCTTTTAGCTAAAGGAGCCGGATTTTGGGCGTGCGTAGGCAACACTTTAGCCTCGGATTTAACGTCTTGAACGTTTTCGGCTTTGCCGGCAGGTGGCAGAGGGCGATCAGCGCTCTGCATCCGTGCGGTGGGAAACACTGGCGTGGATGGGGTTTAAAACGAGAGGGAGGTGCTAGCAGCCTGTGCGTGCATGTGTAGACTGGAAGAGAAGGGAAGGGTGAACTCTATTTCAATCCATTCTTTGTTTTCCCAAGGTTAAGCCCTGCTTACCAGAATAATCTTATCAGCTGAAACCGTTTCAACAGAACTGGGCCCTTAACAAAACCGAGATGCAGACCCTTTGAAATATGGTAGGAGTTAGGCTATTGTATGCTTTAATTATATGTAAGCATGGCTAAATAGGCTTGGGAGGGGGAAGGCCTTTGAAAAATGTGGGCGTCTGGGTTGTTATTTGTGTTTCTGTTTAATTTACTGGAGTGCAACTAGATCCTTCTCAGAAGAAGCTGGGTGCTGTACACAGAGCCTGACCTGAGTTACACCAGAATATCTGTAATGACTGCAGCAAAGCTATTCTGGATGTTTACCAGTACGGCAGGTTCAAAGTCTCATTCGAGGGCTCTGATCTTCATACGGATGCCACTTTCTACTGCCGAGAGACAGATGATTAACATCGGATTTTTTTTGATGTATAACAAAGTTTCAGAGTGAAGGACACAGTGGAAAAGAATGGTGGTGAAATGTCTATAACAATAAAATGTTTCTTTTGACAATTTAGCCTTTCTAATAGTAAATGCTTTCAAGAATAAAGAATGTTGCTATTTTTCTGCATGACACAAGAAAGTGTTTTGACCTAAGGCAAAAAGAGAGAGCTTCAGTATCCCTTACAGAGTACTCAGATGGTTGTCGAGGAATAGCCACAAGGTCTACATGCTGTTTTCATTCATTGTCCGATATTTCAAGGGAATTTGTCGTAAAGAAAGAACAGCGTCACATACAGCTCTTTAAATAAACAAAAGGAAAGTAGCACAGATCTCTGAATGATTAGGTGGTCCCCAGCTGCTGCTCACATAGACAGAGTAGCAACTGGAGGCTTAATTAAATTTCTTAATTAGAATTTAGCACAAAGTTACTCAGATTTTATGAGCATATAAGCTGCATTGCCAAGAGCCACACGTGTTTTATTTAAGAGGACATAAAAAATGTGGTGAGTACAACTTCTTAAAAAGCCACGAGTGACTTCAAAAGAAATAGTAAATGGCACCTCAAAGAGATGAAGCTTTCACTTGGTATTTTAACCTTATGCCATTCCCTGTTCAAATAATGGAAATCTCGAGCTTAAAGAGCAGTTTGAGTAAGGCCTGATCCTACAAAGCTGTGAGCAGTCTTCACTAATGAGTGGAAAGGGCAAAATCCTTTGCAATTCTCTGCGTGTTGGATACTCAGTTGGTCACTACCATGCAAACTGCCCAGTACTTTCTCTGTGTTCCCAGCAAACCATTAATGTAAATCAGTCACTTTTATAAAGTTAAACTCAGCTTAATCCTTTCTCTCATTATTACTTTGCTGGCAACCTTCCTTTTGCACTGTCAGTTTTGTTCTCATGCCAAAAGCAATACCCAGTAGGGAAAAAGAACATTTCAAGCCTTCACTAAAGGGTTTCCTTAGCTGACAATCTTTCTCATACAGCCTAGTGACATCCAGTATGTCATCACTGGAAGGACACTGGGCTGGATTGTGAAGCCTGCTCCGTGTTGTGGAAGCTATAAAGTTCACTGCCAGATAACAAGACTGAAAGCTAATTCAGGAACTGTTTCTCAAGAGCTATCCTCTGGCCCCCCTCATCAGAGTGAATGCACTCACTCACTGAAGCATCTCTTGGCAGAGATTTTGGCCTCTCTCCAGCTGTTTCTCTCTTCTCAGGGACTTTCTTATTCAGTGACTGGTTGTGGTCTTTAATCCTGGTTATCTTGTACACAGAGCCCCACTGAGAAAAGAAGCCTTCCCTGTCATGGAACAGTCCAATTGAAACAAATCTATAAAAATAATAATTACAAGGTCCAGTCCTCCCTATGAAATTGTCTTTTTTGGGGGATTTGGAAGCACAGACATTTTCTCTTGTCCTGTGTGACACTAAAATACATACTTTGTAAGTTAAAGCTGAATTTACATAACATATTTGAGTAAGACCCTCGACCAAGCTTACTCATCCCTTTCACGGGGCATGCGTACTTTGAAAGCATTTTGAAATAATTTTATGAGGGTTTTTGTGCTCTTCATAGACGCCATCTAGCATTTAGTAGCATTGAGCAGATACCATCTGCAGTGACTCCGTAGGCAGTGACTAAACACAAAGCTGCAGACTCCAAGACTCCGGTCTTGTTGCTTTTCAGTGGAAGGAGAGAAGTAAATGGCCATGAGGGGAAAATCCCGATCCTAAAATGAAAGCAAAGAGAACCTGAATGAAGTATTTGCCCTGTAGGATTAATCACATCTAGATAATCAAGATAGAAGGTATAATAGTCAAGCTGTTCCTGCATGCATGATGTATCTTGTGCTAGAGAACATTCTTTTGATATGCACAGACCATGGCTCTTGACAAGCTGTTTGGGTGACACTTTTCCATGGAAGATTTTAAATTATTCTTGCTTTTGCATCCTTTCTGTGTTAATGATGGCAACTGCATAGCTTTGCTCATTAAATACATTTATGCCCACTATTTCAAAATGAACATATAGCCCTGCTAACATACAGCAGCACCATTCAACATTTGCTGCTTCTGTAAGTTTCACCTTTTCAGAAGCGCTGCAAAAGACTTTACCTTTTATTTCCTGTAAAAGCTGTCTATACTGAAGTTTTTCTGAAGTACTCTGAAATTACTTGCTCTGACGCAGCACTATGAAGATGGAAATATCATGCAAACAGGATGTCTTGGTTTAGCAGCCATATTGTTCAGATCTGCTCAGAGCATGATAGGAGAAAGCCCCCGTGGTACTTGCTTATTTGCTTCCTGAATATATTTGTATTGCTACTAGACAATATGGCACCTTCTAGAAGTATTTGAGCATTTTCAGTGCTCTTCCACACACACGTTCCCACTGTTTTACCTGTATTGTCAAAAAAAATGGAATTCCTCTGGGGTGAGCACAGTTATAGCAGCATAAAAATGCTTATGTTGTCGTATTTATACTGGCATGGCTTGTTCCTAGAAGGGATAATATTACGGTGTGATTAGAGAAGGGAGATTTAATCA